TTAATTTTTTTTCTCTATTCACTCGTATTTTAATTTTCTTTACTTTGACTCCTAGACACCTGTAGTCTTAATATCTAAATATTAATTAAAGAATTCGTAGCAAAATCTATCAAAATTTGTAGAGCAAATGCAAATGTCTTCTTGTTCTAATTTCGCCAGAACTATTCAAAAGATGATAATAAAGAATTCGTCTTAAATCGTTTATAAGTTTTGCTTTGTTAACAATTTTCATAAGGTATTCTATTAGTTTGCCAAAGGTATTCTTGTGTATATAGTAAAATATGAATGTCAATCATGTCTATATTATATGAAGATATCTATTCTAAAATTATTTCCTTTCCTTCAATACATTTGAAATTATAGTACAGTATAGCAGGATATGATATCAAATATTGTTCAGCAAGCAATCCTTTCTACACATTTGATATTCATCTCATGTGTTTATGGTAAGTAAAACATGATTTTATTTCTTTTTTTTTTGCTTCTTATTTTAGCATCTTGAACAAAAATATGGTTATCTTAGTTACAATTTTCTTGATTTGTCAAAAAGGATTCCGTTTATTAAAAGATATTCTTCGTCCGTTATTTGTATTTTTTTTTTTTTTTCATTTTTTTTTTTTTTTTGGTTTAAGTCGTACAAGTAACCATATGTCCATTTTGTATTTGGTTCACATGATTTGCGGCATGGTTACAGAATAACCTCAATACATAGAAATAAATCCTTTAAATATTAAATCATTACTAGACGAAAGGATATAAAACACAATGCAGATATGAATTTATGTCTAAAATAAGAGAATGAAAAATGTTTATATTTTTCGCTTTCAAATTGAAAATAAAAATTAATGACTCGCTTACAGTCAAATGAAGACAATAAATATATGGATATAGTTTTTTGTAAAAAGGAATCAAACAAGAACCTTAAGAACCTTAATAGTATGACCCTTCCAGCGGAGGAGATCAATAAATACTAGCTACGATCACCAAGCGACTCGGATTTCAACTCTCTCAAAACTTAGATGCTTCAGATGAAAGTGTTATTAATACAAATTCTCATTGCTTTCTATTCCGCTCCTTCAGCTAACCATTTGCCGAAGGTAAAGTGAACCACATTAATTGCATCACCGTGGAGCATGAAATCTTGTAACGAATACTTACCCTGGTCAATAGCATTTTTGTCACGGAGGGTAGCAACAGCTTTTTTAGATAAGTAGTGGCTACGAAATTGAAGACTGAAATCAGTTTCTGCCTATTGGGCTTAAGTTCCTTATGAAAAACGGGCCTTTATTGCAAACACTTCACACACAGTAATTTACCTGCTATGGCTTAAATCAATTGTTCGGCAGAAGTAATTGTTGAGAAACCATTGAAATATTTACAACTGCAGTGCAGAGCCCTACACTAGGATATGGTGTTTTGGCAATAATGTCAACAATTCATTCTCGATCAAATGGCTTCCCATCGTCCCATCTTTCTGCCAGTTGTCTTTTTAATATCGAAAATTCCGAGTGAGTGGAAAATGACTTGTGCTGCCAATACTAATTTGTTTATGTATTTATTTATTGATTTTTAAAAACATTGTTAAATAGTTACACAACATTTTAATTAGAATTATAAATATTACGTGGAAAAATTACTTCATTATAGAAGAGTACGCATTAAATTCTTTTCCCCTTCAAGCTAACGCATTACATATTAAAACAACATTCATTTAGTGTAATTGTTCTTAAGTTTGGGCTATGGATTTAATAGTTTTTTTATTACATTGTAGAAATCCGAAAAACGAGTAAGATGTAGTTCTCGTTTACCATTTACCACATAAGACTCGAACTGGATTATACTAAAGAGATTTATAGATAATTTGCATATCTCAAAGTAACTAAGAACGCTAGACGGAATATTCAAAGAAGAGTGATCCAACACAACCGGATCAGAAATATAAGTCTTCATAAGTTTAGCCATAAATACCATGTCCAACATTTCTCTCTCTGAAACTACGTTAAAGCATGGAGGCGCAACCTGTTTTCGTAAGCGGACAGCGCGACCAAAAGTAGACATTGCCGTTGAATCGACTCAATAAGATCTACATATTCTCCACATCTTGGCTCCCACCCCACAGCTGTATATTCAAGAATTGCTCTAAGCCCGGACGTATATAGGCCTTTCGCGAGATAAGGATCGTCGAACTCCTTAAGCCAGCTTTAATCCAGAAGAGATTTAGCTTTATTGATCGAAGTCTTAATATGAATGTTAAACCTGGGTTTATAGTTAAGGATGATTCTTAAGTCGTTAACTCTCGAAACTTGTAGAACTAGAATATGACTATCCGCCTGAGTGGCCGAGTAGGCAAGAGTCTCGACTAGTAACTCAATGGTCGTGGGTTCAAATCTCAAGTGCGGTAGAGTTTTTAATAAAAGCCGAAAGCCTTAGATGCTAGTGCCTTAAGACTTTAGTCTTAGAATTTATTTTCTGACTAAATTTATAATAATAATAATAATAGTAATAGAATATAACTATTAAGTATATACAAAGTGGGCGGCAAGTTTACGTCAATGTCTGTTTAACAGTGACATCGATAATATTCAAGCATTGAGAAAAGTAAATTTAACGGTATATAAGGAATAAATTGGAATTCTACTGATGACTCTAACTAGTTCGAATACTTCACGATTCCTATTTGCCAAGAATATTATTTATTAGCCATAAGAAATGCTTTGTCTATTGCGCAGCGACGAAGGATTAAAACACATCACCAAACAAATTAAAAATATTGTTTAAAAAAAAATTATTTTCTTTTCCTTTTTCTTGTTGTTATCATTATCTCCTATCAATTTTTCTCTAATTCTTTAAGCAAAAGAGAATGAAATTTCAATAAAAAAATAATCTGTGGATGATTTGGCTGAAAAGAAAAGACGACCAATTAGAACAATATTTTCGCATAATACTTAAAAAACGTATGGAGAGAGAAACATTATTAAGTTTTCTTGCGAAATTTCTATACTTCCTCCATTATTAATCAATCCAATTACATATATATGAAAAAGGGTAACTGATGACTTCCAAGTTTTGGGTTTTATATCTTAAATGTTAACTTTGGACATAGTAATATATTACTTAGGTATAAGAGGACCGCTTGTCGTATAAAATATATTAAGTAAGCAACACCCGAAAGAATTTGAGATTAACTTACCTTTTATTATATTCATCTATTCAGAATCACTTTCTGAATTTATTCAATTCGGTCTGTCCGTCTGATATCTATCCATGAATTTTTACTGTCAGTTTAAAGTTCGCCACCTTTTAAGATATATTGACGAAAGGTGATAAGCTGATGTGCTTAGGCCAAGACTATTTTTACATTCATCCCCCATAGAGTATCCAAAGCGATTGCATGAAAAAGGCCTTTCAAGAATATTCTTATTGCGCACTAGATGACTATGCGGAATTTGTATGGGATAAAACCACTATTTAAGCCCCCTTCTTTTACAAACAAAAAAACCTCGTACGGAAAAAAGTTTCCATTTTTAAGATTTTCTAAAGTCGACTTATAAGGTGATTGTCCAAAATTTGGATCACATAGACATATTTTTTGGAGCGTACCCCAGAAGCAAAACACCATTTCCTTGTCAACAATGTTTAATTTTTGGTATTTTAAAGTAAAGATAAATCAAGGATTCCAATTAGTCAACATGGCCCAATGGTCCTCGCCTGGCTCGACTACAACGTTTTAAGTTCTCTTTGTTTAAATTTAATTATAATAAGCAAGGTTAAGTTCCATCGATAATTCGCGCAAATGTTCTTGATTCCAAAAGAGGTTTTCCTTGGATATGATATTTCGAATAAAATATTTGTAAACAAAAGCTATAGTATAAACCTGTAAGTAATGGTAGCAGATATCAATCCAAAATAAAAATAAAATCCTTTTTATCGTATTCACCTCAACGATAAGTATTCAAAGTCCTTCTAAGGTGAATGTAGAATTTATATTGCTTATGTCGCGTATAGGCATAAAGCATAGCATTTGAGTTAATTAAAAAGTCGAATGTGCAACTTTACTAAATATGATTATTTTTTATTAATTATGCTACAGATTTAACAGATTTTATTTATGTGTTGCTTGTTTTTCTTTCATTTTTCTTTTATTTTTTTTTTTTTTTTTTTGTTCTGTCTGTTTTATGTTTATAATGATGAGATCTATTTGAGTTATTGATTGATTGATTAATTGCGCCGAAGCTCCTTTATAACTTTTTGATAAATATTAATAAAATATATGTTATTTTTTAATATATAATGCTTATTAAATGCTTTTATTTTAACAATTTCCATTTCTCAAAAAAAAAAGTATTTTTCGTGATTTCTTTCTTTCTTTTTTAATCATTCATATATATATACATATATATATATATATATATATATGTGCAATTGTGTTGAAAGAATGATGCTGGAAGCAAAGTTATTTTTTCATTATTTCTAAACATAGTCTTTTAAAAAAAAAAAAGGAAAAAAAAAAATACATAAAGAAAAAATTCACGTAAAACGCTACAAAAATAAAACTCGATTGAATATATGTTAAGGTAGAAAATAAAAATTGCGCGGTTGAAAAAAATTGATTTAAACGCCCCATGTGAACGACATGAGAGCTAAACGCATATACGCGTATGACATATACGCGTTCAGTTAAATACGTGAGCAGACATAAAAAAGATTGAGCACAAATAGCCACAAGGATAACATTGACTGGCTGCAGCTCTGGTAATTTCGCGTGAAAACGTTGAACGTTTTTGAAATTTAAAAAAAAAATATGAAAAAAATTAAAAACTTTTACGAAAAGCTAAACGTTATGCCATCGCATAATAAAAAGAAGAAATTCTTAAAATAACAGTCAAATCTATTTTAAGTGAACTTATGCAAAAATTAAAAATAAACAATCAAACAAAAATGCGAACAGTAAAGTTTTTAAAGCTTTCTATTTGTGTTATCAGGATTCAATTAATAAATTTCTATTTCTCTGCTTGCTGTGCCGTTTGACCGGTCGCTACAGTTGCAGTTGCTGGTTCCATGATATACATATCTTTCAATAAACGAGAGATGGGCACATTGCCAATCGTCTCTTTGAAAAACAAACTCTCTATAGTACTGGTGCGTATTGAACGTAACGTCGGCAATAACCACAACAATCGGCCATATCTGGTGGCCTGTTGTCTAGGATAACGTAAGCGTACATGATCCGAAAGTATGCATTGTGCCTGATCTTGTAACATTTCCACCGGTTGGATATCGCTAAGACCTTGTATATCTGGCGTAAAGAGAACAATTGCTTTCATGCAGCCAACTTCACTGCCGTCCGGTATTAGCTGACGAAAACGTAGTAATATCTCCTGTATTGTCTTTATTTCATTATCAGTAGTGCCATCCTGAGGTAAACGTTCCTTAATTAAAGTTGAATCGAAAATCGGTGTTAAGTCCAAAGGCGTAATCCATTGAGCTAAATTTAGCAGAAATAGTTCCTTCCAAGAACCCTGAGAATTAAAAAAAGAGACAAGACACTATTATTAGAAATAGATTTGAAATATTCTTATTCCCTCTAACCGTGCTAAGTTTTATCAGAAATTAAAATAACGATAGTAGAGAGGTTAGGAAAACAAGCGTCTCCGAGAAGTATCAATGGATATCGTTTAGGATTTTCATATTTATTCTCGTACTGCTTTTGAACCTATCAGGCATCATAGAAATATGCCTGTACATGCACGATGTGTGTACAGACTTTATTAATTTCTAACCGGAATTTGATTTGTCCATCTATCCGCTAATAGAAGACTAAAGCCCTTCCAACTAAGCACGCAAGTGCTTCCGCTCCTTCCCGCTCTTAGAAGTGCAAGTAAATTGACGAAAAAATAAAAGGAACTAAAATAGGCCCAACTTTCATTATCCCGATCAATTCAATATCATATTGTCATTATATTGTCTAGCCATCAGCTCGCCTGCTCATCTAATTTCCATCTATGTATTTTTGTGCTCCAGCTATATGCAATCATCATAACGGATTGAATTAGCTCATTTTTACGATCACTCGCCGCATAACATATATGGGGGATCAATATGATTCCTTTTGGTAGAAATAGATATATACAAAATCTCATTTTTCTAATCTTAGGAAGGCCGACAGGCAAGCAGACACACATATCGAAATCGGTTCTAATGTAATCCTCATGCCATTGTAATTTATAAATATAACTTACGAGTTCTACGATTTCATTGCATTTTCGAAATGTATTATACAACATATATATATTGAAAATTGATTAATATACGATGTAACAAACGCGATTACATAAAACAAGTAAAAAAATTATATTCGGTCGTGAGCCAATCTTTTATATCCGTCACCGTCACCCTAAAGAGATTAATAATAAGGAAAAGAACTAAATTTTCATATTCTATAATATTGGATCGGCATGGCTGATTTTTTCTATTTTCAGTATAAAAATGGAGAAATTTATACGATATACATGATGTACGTTATGATTAATAAGCAAAAAACGTGAACAGCAAAAGTTTTCACAGTCTCTGCTGTGTACGCGTATCCTGTGACCGGCTTAGGCTTTTTTTGCACGTTTGCAGACGTTACTTTCAATTTTGCAAACGGGAGAATGTTTACCACAGATATATACACGGTTGGTTAGGTGGGCAAATAGACAGACGCACAGGCGCTCAGGTGCATTTCGCATTTGAAACTGGGCAAGAATTTTTATACTTTACGGGGTTTTTTAAGCTTGTTTCTGGGTATAAAGGTAATGAAAAAAAAATTTAAATATTGATACACTATTATATTCGGTAGGTGTGGTCAATTTTTCGCATTTCTGTGGAGGCACTGAAGCCACGTCCACAGAAATACGTTCAAATTTTCATAAATTTATCTGCTATAGTTTATGAGTAATGAACAAAAAATCGAACCTTTGTTCCTTTTGAAAAGCAGATGTGTTCTTAGTTTGCGTGGCACTGGTGGCGCTTGAGCCCTTTGACTAACTTAGCTTTCAATATTAAACTGCTTGCAGGAACTTCCAATGTTTTTGCCGCATTTAAAACCGAAAGCTTTATTTTTGCGGCCAATCGAATATTTGTAACAGACATTATAGAGACGGACAGACGGACATTCTTAAATCGATTTAGATTTTCATGTTTCGTGGAGTCTTTGAAACTTCCTTCTGGCAGTTGCCAATGTTTTGACGACGTGAATGTACCGCTCATTCTTCACTGATGAGCGCAATGAAATAAATAAGAAATTTACTCAAATTCTTGCGGATATGTTAGTGTCTGAAATTAAATGATCACAAAATTTTGTTATAAAACAAAGTCAATAAAAAGGACCGATCAACTAATAAATAACCGCGTTATTCTAAGTTGGGCAGTCCAAAAATATTGAGTCCCTATCGTTCACTAGATTTCACCTCTCTATCCGACTTAAAATGCATATAAATTTTCATTTATTCAAATACGTTTACTTAGATACTTATTGTATATATATATATATATATATTTTTTTTTTTTATATAGAATAAGAACTTTTTTTAATGTTCAAGAATTTCGAACCTACCTGCAGTAGAAGAACTTGATCGTTGCGAGACAAAGTTTGAAAAGGCATTAGGCATTTAACCCAACGAACCGCCATGAATAAGAGTCGAGCGGTTGTTTCTTGCAACATTTCCCACGATATTAAACGTGAATCCAAACCAATAAGTTGTTGCGGTAGCGGTGGAAACATTATTGAATTGTGCATCTGATACTGTAAGATTTCCTGGCATTTGTCGGGACTTAAAAGCAACTCGATAAAGCCGTTTTGTCGAGCAGCGTACAAAGCACCAGCAGCAGCGGCCGCTTGAGCTGATGATGGCGTAAACGATGTAGTAGTTGTTGGTGAAGACGAAGTGTGTGTTGTTAAATTGGTAGCCGTGACCGAAGATGTAACGGGCGCTTGATTCGATGATGCATTTGACGCTAAAGAAAATGCTGACAGATGCATGCCTGGAGTAGTAGGTGATATGGAAACTGGTGGCGTAGGAGAAGAGGAGGAAGTATTTATAGAACTTTTTACACTAAAATTGCGATTTAAAAGACTTTTATCATTATTATTTGGCGACTCTGAGTCGTTGGTGTCAGTAGGCGATAAAGGTTCTTGTGCTAAAGGCGAGCTAACGGGTGTGAAAGGAGGCGAAGGCGTTTCAGTTTCTACATTTAAACGTGGTGACTCGCAACCCCGCGACGAACGTCCTCCTACCGACGAAATCGACTGTATCGAATCAGACGGGGAAGGTGAAGAATAGTTGTGCGGTAAAGTGGATTTATTATAAAATTCTAAACTGGTAGTGCTTCCAGCCCCCGAAGAACTATCGCCACGACTAGTAGTTAAATCATAAGTTGGCAAATTGGTGCTTGATATAGGATGTGCAGGTGCTGCGTTCCCCACCATAGTAGCAGCTGTCGTAGCAGTAGCCGCAGCCGCTATAACAGGCAATTTGCTTGTGGCTTCAGCTATAAGATTATGATGCATTTGAGGAAGCAAATGAGGCGGAAAAGATAAATGCGCTGTGCTATGGGGTACACCACCTGGTACACCATTATTCACATGGCCGGGATGATGGAAGGCAGTTGGATGAGGAGGACCATGAAAACCAGCTGCTGCTGCGGCCGCCGCCGCCGCATGATGCGTTGAAATATGTGAAGTATAATTAAAAGAAGCGGAGACATTCGTTACCAAAGAAACTGGTAAGTGGGCAGCATGATGATGATGATAAGCCGCCGGATGACCAGATAAACCATTCACATGATGTCCCGCATGATGATGATGATGATGATGATGGGCTTGATGATGATGATGTTGATGTAACTGCGGATGAATTTTCGGCTTACGAGGGCCACGTTCATGTTGTACAGCTGAAATAGCAAACAAAAAAGAGAAAAGTTTCCATTTCTTTTAAAATGATTTTGTCACAATTCTTTTCTAACAACAATAAAAACTGCCACGAAAGCAAATCAGATTAACGCAATTATCCACTTGAATAGATTTGTTATACTTAAGCGTCATTAAGACATTTAAACTGAAACTTTACCAGCGGGGAATAAAAGCATCATATAAAAGTCTTTTAAAGAAAACCATAAAATGGCGCTGAGGTTTGAGATTTTGATTTTCATTCTTTCTGTGCGTGCGTATGTATGTTTATATATGCGAACGAATGTTTACACTTGAGAGGTTAAAGTTGAACATATAAGAACATTTGCATACGGGTTTCTTTTCAAGCAAAAAGAAACTTTTTGGTTTTCCCAAGTTATGATGAAAAGTTTTCCAAATTCTTTTTAGGCAGACAGAATTCGTTAAGATACTTAGATATAAAAGATAGAGTGAAATTGTTTACTGTTTAAGAAATATATAATTTTTATTATTCCTTTAATAATAAAGAGAGGAATATTACAGAGCAGTACTTTCCACTGCGGACTATTGTTCGTAAATTTTTTCTAATAAGGGTTTCATTAAGTAGAACGCCCACTTTATTTTTATATCCGCCTAAAACGAATTGCTGAAAGAAAAATATATACATGTTTTTTTTTTTTTTTTTTGAACGAGGTAGGACCATAAATGTTCAAAAGCATTGAATAGAATTCTGTGCCGTTTCTGTCAGATCCTTCATGCAACATTGTTCAGCGTGAATTTCTTAATCGATTATCCTGTGATATATTATTAGAACTTTTATCTTTGCATGAATTGAAGCAGGGTTAGAACGTTACAGCTTGGCACATAATACTGTGATTAACTTTTTCTATTTAAATCATGCTATGATAATTAACCAAAGTCAAATAAGCATCAGTTTAGATTTATGTTCAATTCATGCGCATTTTCTGATTTGAGTTTTTCTTTGCAATCGAGTCACAGGTTTGAGGTTTTCCAAATTTCGAAAATGGTCAGAAGAATGAGGAAATTATGTAAGGCAAATTGGATGGTTTGGTAAAGTAAAAGGAAAAGATGACTGACTATATTTACTTCGAATAGCTTCAAAGTAATGATGAAGGACTCTGTCTTTTTACCGATTTAACCCAGCGAAGAGAATTCCAAATGTACGACGCGAACTACATATGATTTGCTGCTTCAAGATGGCAGTGATGAGAAACCAAGCTGAACAGTAGACGTGATTTGTTAGCAAACACTTATTCAATTTAAGAAGGAAAGGTAAGCAAATTTTCATTGGTTTACGGCGAAATATTTCAACAGACGCCTAAGTCAAATTTGCTAAAAGTATCCTTAAATCTTTAAAGATTCATTGTTGAATTGCCCTGAACGATCATTTAACACGCGGATGATTGGTAGTTAATTTTGCCATTAATATAACTAGTAGCCATAACTTGAACAATATGTATATACATATATATATATACTACTTGTTTATTTTAAAGGAAACAATGTTTTTTTGTTTTAAATTTTTGATATAATTAAAATCCAGTATCGGCAAAGATGGATGAATACTGAGAAGAGATTCATTAAAGATAATGAAGTTTATCCTGCTTTACTTCTATTATATGTCGTAATTTAATTTAAAAATTCTCTCTCCCTCTTCCTGTTAAATAGAATTTTAATCTCTATTTACATTAGAGCATTATGTTAAAATGTTAAAATGCCATCAAATGTATTTGTGTTTATTTTGACTAAATTTAGGGAGCACTCTTTCTTCATATGCTCCGTGTAGTATACATTAAGGCTTGTCATTTATTCATTAAACATTAAGTAAATTTTTTGGCCTAAAAACAAAATATTCAAGTAATTCCAAAAGAACTTATATTGAAATAAGCCCAAAAGCAAGATTTTGTGGTCTTTGGTGTCAGATTAACAACAAATTGTGGGAAAACATAATTTTTCTCTTTTTTTAAGCAAAGTGCAAATAAAGAAGTGATTGATGACTACCAGATGCTAATAAGTAAATGTGTAAAATTTATATTACTTTGTGAAATTTCCACAGTTAATTAATGTTATTTTATTCTATTAATTTCTACAGAATTTTTTTGGTTTTAATGAACTTTCATTTCGTTTTGCTTTTCCTGGATTTAACAACCAACGAGGGCGATGGCTTTTTGCTATCGCCTTTCCTAAGCCATTTCAAGATTTTTTTTCTGGAATTTCTTTCCGCATAAAAGAGAGTGTGCTTAAGAAAAATAATTAAAAAGTTCTTCTTTATTTTAACACTTTCGGTAGATCACATCTTTCTTTTGTTTTCAATGAGAAGAAGAAGAAAAAAATTTCTTCAGCCTTTTTCATAGTATTTCTTACACAAAGTATTTCGAGACATCATTCTTTATGCTATTCTTTACATTCTACGTCATCACTTGTGGCACAAGAGTACATTGAATTTGTGAAAGTGTATGCAATATCCGGAATGGACTTGAGATAAATCCATTTATTATATCGATCGATTCAGAATCACTTTATGAGCCAATCCAAACTTGTCCGTCCCTCTGTCCATTTTACTTTTTTGTGCTCAACCTGCAGGCCACAATTTCCGAGATAATTTGATGAAATTTGGTGTGCGGACATGTTTTGGCCCAAAGACGAACGCTGTTGTAAATTGTCTGGACCATTTTTTGGACCACTTGCCATATACTGTCTCACTTTGGAAAGTCATTATATGAATAATGCCAGGGTGGTGTAGGTGAGACATGGCTCTCTATGGTGTTTTACCCGCTTTGTCTCAATGCGATTTAAAAAGAAAAACTTTTAAAAGAATCTTAAAGGATTACCTTACAAATTTAGGACCTTAAACGGAAGCGAAAAGGTTTTAAACCTATTCTTTTACCAAAACTCATATGAAAGTCACTTTTCCGCTTCTATGCCTTCCTCTCAATACGCAGGTGGCGAAAATATTCATATTGCACTATCACCTTCTTTTTGAGCTTTATTTTCATTTGTAAGACTTGGAAGACTTGTAAGCCTAGCGGTAAAGAAAAGTGCTAAATATTTTCGACCTTGCCCTCTCAATTTGTAGGTTAATATTGTTTTAGCCAAGAGCAACACTTTTTCGAATCTCTTTCCATAATCTGGGCTCTTGTTTTTGTTGGATTTGATCACAACAGCACTTTGCGAAAACTACAGTTTAAGTGAATCTATCTTAGACGGCTTTGTATCTATAATTACGAAGTATACAATTAAAATTTGTTACATTGCTTTTAAAGCAGTTTGTTAAGCACTTTTCTTAAATCACTTTCGCTGCCTATAGCAGTCTTTGTTGATTTTCTGCTAAAGTGTTTTTACACTTTTTCTTACTTTATTTGGTTTTATGGTTTTCGCCTTTTTATCACGCTTTTTAAGCAACTTTTTCTCGCCTGTCAGGCACTTTGATATTAAACATTTTTTATACGAGTCAACATTTTCCTATAAATTTTTAATTTTTCCTTCTCAACTCGTAATCAACTTTTATTTCTTATTGGATTTTTTGTTGCTTCTCGGTTAATTGAAATGTTTGATCTCTTTAGAAAGGCTTTGGGGCTTTTTAAAGTACTTATAAGGAACACAGCTCATTTACTTGTTCTTTGAATGCTGTGGTTTTCTTCTACTTTAGCCAAAAAGAAGTTGAGTGTAATTCAGAGAGTTGTGCGAAATCAAAAATTAAACTTTTAAACTTTTTGATTACTTAAAACAAAAAGAACTGAACACAGTCGAGTATATTGCAGCTGAACGTTGCTACTGTTCGTGCCATTAATTCAATTCAATGATAAGATTTTACCTTGAGCTTAATTTGTGCATTACTTTTAACCTCTGCCCCTTACATGAAATGTATAAACAAATAAAAATCATACCCACAGCTCTGCGCTATAGCATTTATCACGCGTGTCAATAAGTGGAGGCGTCAGCTATTAATAAGGTCATAAAGCGATTTTCAGTTTTATTATAAAAGTCTTTACGCGATACCATAGGATCCATGGACTTAAAATACGTGTCAAGGGTGATGAGCTTCCTTGTTCCGTACGGATGAACATATATATACATATATATGAATAATATTTTTGAATTCTTCTGATGCACATTTCTGAGTACTACCAAGAAAGTGAAGTGTTGATATACCTTTAGAAAAGTAGATTTTTATTTGGCAAAAAAGAATAATTTTATTCATCATTATATTATTATCTCTTCGAAGGTAACATTGCAACTTTTTATGACAATCAAATAGTTTTAGTATATAAGAAACGTTATAGATGAGCAGGTCCGACCATCAAGTAATTTATATAAATAATAAAAAGCGGCTTCTCCTCCTCAAACCCAGACATTGCATATTCTGGCACCGGTGTGAAACTAAACATTAACCGAAACGTAGTAGCGAACCATTCGCATAAGGCTGGACGCAAAAGAAAGCTCGATATTGCAATTGGTCAAAGCGTTCGCTCTCTTTTTTTTTTAGATGAAAAGAAATTTTAATAATTTCTACTGTGCGGTGTGTACTGTGTGTCTTCGCTTTTTTCTTTGTTGAAATATTAACGCAAATTACGTCAATGTTAAATAACGGTTCTTGGAACAATATCTCTCTCAGATGAATCCAATAAAGTAATTAATAATAACTATTTTATTTTTGTTCACTTTAATTTACTTGGATCATTGGAAGACTTCCTAATTTTGCCGTAACATTCACTTATTACCTTTTTGAATACATTGATGAAAATGATATATATAATATATTGGTCTGTGTGCCCGAGTAGGCAAATAGTCTCGGCCAACAACGCAATGATCCGGGATTCAGATCTTAATGGTAGAGCTTTCAATAAAGCCGATAGCTTTCGATGTTAGCGCCTTAAGGCTTTAGTCTTAGAATTTGTTCTCCGGCTAAATTAATAACAACAATAATAAAAATATAATATGCAAATAATAAATATATAATATACATGAGCAATAATGATTCTTG